GGTTTTTAATTTTTCCTTTCTGATATCTTGTTATTAATTTTGTATCTTTGAGAGTCTAATTTTAGTACCCATATTCAGTTAGGGATTTGACAATTGACTTGATTTCTTTCTTCTCTTTCAATTCTCCCTTTTCTCCTCTTTCTCCTTTCTTCCTCTTCTGTTGTCTATATAATTCTGTGAATATCTTTGGGTTTTCCTGGATGGTGAGAATTGTTTCACTAATAATCTACGCGATGTGTGGCCTGAGAAATCTTAATGCTACTGTAAGAGGTGAGGACTGAACTCCAGAGGCAGGAGACACAACTCCAGGACTCTGGGCCATCAGTGAACTCCAAACTCTATGGAACATTAATAGAGGGAAGCCTGCTAAAAGGCCTCCATTTTTACACTTAGACCAAGCTCATGCAAGAGCCAGCAAGCCCCAGTGCAATATCCCTCATACCAGCCCTTCAGCAAAACAGGAACACAACTCTGCACATTAGCAGACAGGCAGCCCAAAGCCATACAAAACCCACAGACATCCCCAAGACATACTATTGGACACAGCACTACTCTTCAGAGATATGAGATCCAGCTCCACCCACCAGGACACAAGAACACATCCCCCCAACCAAGAAATCTTCACAAGGCCCTGGTCAAACCCCACCAATGGAGACTCCATGGAGACTCCGTGCAGACTCCACAACTAAGAGGAACTACAACCCCGCCGGTAGAAGGGAGACCCAAGGACAAAAAAAAAATAAACAAAATTAAAAGATAGAGAAATATGCAGCAGGTGAAGGAACATGGTAAAACCCACCAGACCAGAAAAACAAGGAGGAATAAGGAGTCTACCTGGAAAATAACTCAGAATAATGACAGTAGGAAGTGTGAAATTGTTAGTAACTTAGTCATATGCAACTCTTTGTGACTCCAATGATAGTAAAGATGCTCCAAAATCTTTCAAACAAAATGAGGTCATGGATAAATAAACTGGAGGCATGAATAGAGATGTATAAGAAAAGCTTGACAAAGATTTGGAAGAATTAAAGAATAAATGGTCAATAATGAACAGTGTAATAACTGAGAATAAAAAATGTTCTAGAGGAAACCAACAGTGAAGTAACTGAGGCAGAAGAATGGATAAATGAGCTAAAAGATAGAATGCTGGAAGTAAATGAAGCAGAGAAGAATAAAGGAAACAGGATAAAAAGAAATGAGGACAGCCTCAGAGACCTCTGGGACAACATGAAACACCCAACATTCAAAGTATAGGAGGACCAGAAGAAGACAAAAGGAAAGGGCAAGGAAAGGTATTTGAGGAGATAACCAAAAACTTCCCTAAAATGGGAAAGGAAATAGCCACCGAAGTCCAGGAAGCCCAGAGTCTAACACAGGATAAATCCAGAGTAACTCACCAAGACACATATTAATCAAACGAACAAAAATTAAATACAAAGAACAAATGATAAAAGCAGCAGAGGATAAGCAACATATGCAAGCCCATAAGGCTAACCCCTGATGTTTCAACAGAAACATTTCAGCCAAAAGGAAATGCCAGGAATATTTATAAAATGAGGAAAAGGAAAAACCTATAACCAAAAATACTCTATCCACCTAGGACCATTTTCAGATTTGAGGAGAAATCAAAGTGTTACTGACAAGCAAAAGTTAAGAGAATTCACCAGAACCAAATCAGCTCTTGAACAAATGCTAAAGAAATTTCTCTACACAGGAAACACAGCAAAGGCCTATAAAAACAAACCCAGAACAAGAAAGTGAATGGTAATGGGATAATACTTATCAAAAATTAAACATAAATAGGCTAAATGCTCCAATGAAACACAGTTGCTGTTTAGTCACTCAGTCGTGTCCAACTATTTGGGACCACATGAACTGCAGCATTCAGAACACTAAGATCATGGCATCTGGTCCCATCACTTCATGGGAAATAGATGGGGAAACAGTGGAAACAGTGGCTGACTTTATTTTTCTGGGCTCCAAAATCACTGCAGATGGTGATTGCAGCCATGAAATTAAAAGGCACTTACTCCTTGGAAGGAAAGTTATGACCAACTTAAATAGCATGTTAAAAAGCAGAGACATTACTTTTCCAACAAAGGTCTATNAAACTATAGAAAACTCTGAAAGAGATGGGAATACCAGAGCACCTTACCTGCCTTCAGAGATATCTGTATGCAGGCCAAGAAGCAACAGTTGGAACCAGATATAGAAAAACATGCTGGTTCCAAACTGGGAAATGAGTACATCAAGGGTATATCATCACCCTTCTTATTAAATTTCTATGCAGAATACATCATGTGAAATGCCAGGCTGAATGAAGCACAAGCTAGAATGAAGATTGCTGGGAGAAATATCAATAACCTCAGATATGCAGATGACACCACCCTTATGGCAGAAATTGAAGAGCAACTAAAGAGCCTCTTGATAAAAACTGAAAAAGAAGAGTGAAAAGACTGGCTTAAAACTCAACATCCAAATAACTAAGATCATGGCATCCAGGGTCCCATCACTTCATGGCAAAACATGTGGGGAAATAAGGGAAACAGTGACAGACATTAATTTCTTGGGCTCCAAAATCACTGTGGATGGTAACTGAAGTCATGAAATTAAAAGACACTTGCTCCCTATAAAAAAAGTTAAGACAAACCTAGACAGTGTATTAAAAAGCAGAGACATTGCTTTGCCAACAATGGTCCATCTAGTCAAAGTTATAGTTTTTCCAGTAGTCACGTATGGACGTGAGAGTGAGCGTTGAAGAATTGATGCTTTTGAACTGCCGTGTTGGAGAAGACTCTTGAGAGTCCCTTGGACTGCAAGGAGATCAAGCGAGTCAATCCTAAAGGAAATCAGTCCTGAATATCCATTGGAAGGACTGATTCTGAAGCTGAAGCTCGAATACTTTGGCCACCTGTTGCGAAGTACTGACTCATTGGAAAAGACCCTGATGCTGGTAAATTTGAAGGCAGGAGGAGAAGGGGATGACAGAGGATGAGATGGTTGTACGGCATCACTGTCTCAATGGACATGAGTTTGAGCAAGCTCTGGGAGTTGGTGACAGACAGGGAAGCCCAGTATTCTGCAGTTCATGGGGTCACAAAATGTCAGACACAACTGTGTGACTGAACAGAACTGATAGCAAAGATCAATAAAAATAAAAGCTGTTTCTCTGAATAGATAAAACTGACAAACCATTAGCTAGACTCATCAAGAAATAAAAGGAAGAGACTCAAATCAATAAAATTAGCAATGAAAAAGGAGAAGATACAATGGACAACAGAGAAATACAAAGAATCATGAGACTACTATGAGCAACTGTATGCCAATAACATTGACAACTTGGAATTAATGGACAAATCCTTAGAAAAGTGTAACCTTCCAAAAGTGAACCATGAAAAAAAGAGAAAATATGAACAGACAAATCACAAGCACAAAAATCTTAAGTATGGTAAAATATCTTCCAACAAACAGAAGTCCAGGGCCAGATGGCTTCACAGGCAGATTCTACCTAAAGTTTAGAAAAGAGCTAACACCTATCCTGTTCAGACTCTTTCAGAAAGTAGCAGAGGAAGGAAAGCTCCCCAACTTGTTCTAGGAGGCCACCATCGCCCTGTACCATTTGTTCTTTATTTCAAAGTTGTTTCATTTATTCTAGATATTGTATATTTGTATCAATTTTAGAATCAGATTATCAACTTCTATTAAAAACCTGCTAAAATCTCAAAAAAATTCTCACCAACACTCAGCATGTTCAAACTCTTTGCTTTTAGACACTCTAATAAGGTGTGTTTGATATCACATTGTGGTTTTAATCAGCATTTCTCTAATGACTAATTCCACGGAAAATCTCCTCAGTGGCCCTGGCTGCTTTTGCTAAGTAGGCCTAAAATATATTTGAGCACTTAGATGTAATTACCAACTAAGTCTTTTGACATATATGGGCACATTCAATATAATTAATGTGCTTTAGAACAAAAATATAATGGCAGGAGGTTTTGGTTACATTACATTTACAAAGCTGTTGATACAAGTATGATAATATAGAACACCTCCATAAAGACTAGTTCTGTTTAAAAAAAAAAAAAAGGCTGATCCTCCTTGTGATTAATCCCATAGCCCCATTCACTTTAGCTGGTGTCTAAAGGAAGCATTGTATATGTCCTCAGGTTTTTTCCTACCTTTCTTTGGAAGAGATCAAGACTTCCATTTCAGTACCATTTTACTAAATAAACCTATCCAATGCAAAGATATAGGAAAAATTAAAAAGAAAATAAAAAATAGTAATAGAAAATGTGTGATAAGTCACTTCAGTCATCTCCCACTCTGTGCGACCATATGGACTATAGCCACCCAGGCTCCTCTCTCCATGGGATTCTCCAGGCGAGAATACTGGAGTGGGTTGCTGTGCCCTCCTCCAGCGGGTCTTCCAGACCCAGGGATCAAATCCAAGTCTCTTGTGTCTCCTGCATTAGCACGTGGGCTCTTTACCACCTGGGAAGTGGTAAAGAGCACCACTTGGGAAGCCCCAAAACAAAACAGGTAATGAAAGAGACTAAAGCGAGAGATAAAATTATAAAAAACAGTAAAAGAAAGATTAAATTTAAAAATTGTGATAGAAAATGATAAAAGGAACAAAATACATAAAGAAATAGTTAAAGAATGTGGGCATGAACAATTTTAAGAATCTAACAGAGCCAATTTATGAGGATTCCTGGAGGAGATTGGCTTGCCATAGAGAGAAGAATGAGGAATATGATGAAATCTTTGCACATACCATTCATGTGAACTTGAGTCAACTGCCAAAGCTCCTTTAGCTTCAGGTTTTGCTCCTGTAGATGGATAATGGTATCTGTCCTGAATGAATTTTATTAAGATTAACCAAAATACAGCAAGATATGTGGAGATCTTGGTGCCAAGTCATTATGTTCCTTAATCTGTGCCAGATGATCTGTTAGGGAAACTTGAGAACTTAGAAAGAAGAGAATCCACTGACAGAAAAGTTTGAGTTGAAATGCGTTGGGCAAAAGCAGCCATTTATTCATGTTTTATAAACATGATCTTACAAACATCATACAGAGCTGGCACAAAAGAACAGACACCATCTCATACACCATGCTTCCTTCCAAACCACTTCTATTAAGTTACAACATCAGAACAAATCAGTTACTAAGTTACACAGTTCTTCAAACATGGACATCTCCCCACTAGAGTGGTTAGATTGGCTAATAAGACAAACAATTAATTTATATGTTTAATACAGTGCAGAATTTGTAACAGAATTCAAGATCACACTGATATTGTAATATCATATAAAACAGGATTTTCAGAAGATAATGCGATCACTGTGCCTCTGCCTACTTCAGTCCTGTTCTAGTTTTTCTTCTTTTTTTACTTAACAGTAATTGCAAATAGTTTTACTTGACTTTTCACAATGAAAAACACTTTAAATTAAAAAAAAACCTATTTACAAATTAGTTATTGTCATCTTGTAATTATCTGCTGTTGGCTTTATTGTCCCTCCTCCAACGACCATACTTCTTTTGGTACCATCATTAACTTCTGGCAACTGTGAAGGATACTTAGGGTTTACTTTTTTTAATGTTTAAGGGCTTCAAAATATATTATATTTCTTGGCTCATGATACCAAATATAGAAACATAAAAAGGCCATATGATTTACCCAAACCATGTACTGACTACAGTTTATTTAACAGAAATGCTGAGTGGACCAAGATGCTATGACGTGACTCTGTGATGGCATGAAAACAATGATTGGAGAATAGTCTCGTCTAATTCCAAAATCATCTTAAAGCTCAAAAGAGAGGTTGATTTCACTTTTTGTATACAGAGTGTAAAACATTTCCTACTTTCAGCATAATCATAAAAAGTATGTATATGTTGTTTGGAAAATGTATTGTCATAGATTTTACAAACACTGTGATATCAAACACATTCTCAAAAATTGCTGGAGCACTGACACAAAACCTGACTCAAAATGTAAAGTTTTCAGTAGACTTCATTTCTAACTTGCATATTTAAAATTCAACTGTACCTGAGTTTCACTTTTGCTTTTCTAAACACTCAAATACAGTGATATTACCTCAAGTAAATTCTCTCCAAGTAATCACAGAGCCCTGGCACTGGAAAGCAGTACAAGATACAAGTTTATAAACTGGTCCACAGACACGAGCTCAAGACAAATTAGCCTAGAAAAGATGGTGAAACATACTCTACTGTGTTAATTTGGCAGCATAAATATGTTATGTATGAACATATGTAAAGTATATTAGGCTTGCCAATAAAGAAAAATTTATTTCTCCACTTGATGAACAATGGGTGAATTTTCATAAGAGAAAGCATGCTTTTTATTTCTAAATCCTAATAATCACATTGAGTTTTAGTGATGCGTTCCAATGAGATTATCACCACATCCATAATTTGAGACTACAGAGCAGTATTCTTAGAATGCTCAAGTAACCTGCAGGGGAAATTGAATATCTTATGAAATTTATCCAGATTCTCTTAACAAAGAGGAAATGATCATGATACACATTTACAGTTACTTTCTGCTAATTCAATCCATTTCTAACAACAACAACAAAAAGTTTGCACTCACGTGTCAGGGGAAAAAAGGAAAATTTCTCCTTGACTAGTAAAAATCGTTAAGTTCCAATTCATCACAGCTCGGGTGCTAACCATCGCAGAGCGCGTGCCACTTGGCGATCTGCCTCCTGGGATAGTCACAGATCTCTTTCCAGTGCTCGCCACTGGCCCCGTCTGCTGCCGCTCCCAGGACCAACCTCCCAATCACCTCATTCCGGGATCCCCTTTCAGAATCCAAAACCAGAAATTCAACACTTATCTCTTCTAGGCCCTCACAAGGAATGTCAAAGACAAAGAGTTCATTGAACACTGCATTGGGGGTGCATTTCTTCACATGCGTCTTCTTTTTAGAGATTCTCTTTTTGGCATGGTACAGGTTCACTTTGACATAGGGATCTGCAATGATACACAACAGATACATGGCAGAACGAGGCAGGAACTCTGATCTCAAGATAACGGTGTCCTTAGATATTACCGCATACCGACAAAATGTGATTATAATGAAAATGAGTCAGAATGAAGTGAAAATATGGATAAAGCGTGGCTTCTCTTTTGTCAACAAGTTGAAAATAAGTAAGAATGTAAAACATGAGAGATAACAGAGGATAGGAAAGAACTGTAATGGCAGGATGAAGTGATGACATAAAGGGGGAGGAAAGAGAATGTTCTAATAACACATTCTGATTACTGGTAACTCATTCCCGAGAAAGGACTAGAAGGAAAGACCATTACACAGCGTCTAACCTTACTGAGCTGTCTGACTTTGGGTAAGTCTCTCTACCTCTCTGCTTTCTCTTTTGAATGGGGCAATGGGAATTTAGAGTTCACAATGACAATGCCTTTTTCAGTTTTAATTTTTCTGTGGTCCTTTAATCACCCGATGCGCTCGTTTCCTGTTACCCTGTATTTATATTCCTTGTGTCACATGTATCCTGTGGATTTTAAGATAATGCTACTTTGTCACCTATTTACTTACATTATTTTGCCGTATTCTGGCTTCAAGAGTTCATTTTAGCTTCCTAACCTATATCTTTAAGATCATGTTTTCAGCTTCCATTACTTAATTATAAAATTATAACTGATAATAGCTCTAGGTGATATTGAATGAAATGTATATATTTCATTATATATATGAATGAATATATATATGAATGAATTTATATATATATGAATGAAATCTATACACATATATACACATATATATGAATGAAATCTATATACATATATACACATATATGTATATATCCAGTCTTCACAACCCCCTTCAAGGTAAGTACTATTATGTCCAGTTTGTATAGAGTTTAAGAAACATAACCAAGATTACTATGCTAAGAAACAGAAGGGTTAGGGTTTGAACACAGATCATTTTAACCCATAGGTCACATGTTCTTTCTCATATAGCAAAATATTTGTGTGTGTGTGAAAGCTAGTCACAAAACTAAAAGCTAATTCTTAAAACAGACAATAGATACATAATGAATTGAAAGAAAGATAATAAAAATAATGGACGTGTAAGGGTAGGCAGGTTCATTTCAAATACTAAAATTAAGAACTTTTCCTATAGCTTATTGTTTTCTTCTGCATTTATCACTGCTTCATGCTTCAACTTTATTCAATCAGACATCTATCACATACTAAGTTAGTCTTGTATTTTAGAACTACTTAGTTTTCTTCTTTTTGTTAATGGCATTGGCTCACACTTATTCCATAAAATGAGAAACAGAGGAACAATCACATCATTTGTAATTGTGAATAAAGGGTAAATACAAATCATAGGCCAGTGTTAGTTGTTAACGGTTTTCCCCAATATATAGCTCAGTTTTCATTGAGCCTATGTTTTTCAAAGCATTCTTACCTGAAAGTCCAGACACATCAGATTTAGGCAGGTGCCGAGCTTTTAAAACCACCACAGTAAGAGTATTTGTGGTGGACTGATAGCAGAGAGAGATCAATAACTCACCCCGTCCTGAAGATTTCTAAACAAAAAGAGGTAAGATATAAAAATAGTTTTAGTATTCTTTAGTTTTGAAATATATAATTTTATCAACATTTAAAGTGGTGTAATTCACACTTCCTTATTGTACTTTAATGTGCTAAAGAATCAGAGTAACTAAAAGTATGTATGCAGGGCCATCACCTCCTAAGAACAACTATCTGCCATCTTGTGGACTTTTTAGGTACTGCAGAATGTTAAAATTCATAATGAGTTAGCCACACTCATCACTAGAAACGTTTTTAACGGGGATATTTAGAATATAGCTTACAGAGAGGTATTTTTAGTTTTTGATTTTTCATTAAGTCTCCACTTTAATTAAGTTATTAATGGTAATTAACATTATCTAATTATTTTGATAGATCTGTATATGGGAAACTGATTCATGTTCAGTTATTTATTTCAAATCCTTTAGAACAGACATTATTAAAATTTGAATTCAGAAAACCTGAAATTTAGTTTGACACCCACCATTCTCTTGGCCCAGAGGGCTGCTGGAGTTAGAACTTGTTTCCCCAACCCTACCCCAAATCCTCCTTTAATCCAAGGAATGAGCTAAATATTGGAGAGAATTGCTTTGTCTTTGAATAGTATCATAGAATTTATTTTTTACATAAGACTTACATCTGTTTTTACTTTAACATTAGAGAAGATGACCAAAATATCAAACTACAAGTTCTAACTGAAATAAACAAAAAGTAACTCGGGGTTTGATTATAGCTAAGAATGATGGCTGACTAGAACTCCTAAAACTGCAATACACATTTATAAAAAAAAGCTACTGTGGGGTAACTGTGTGAATGAGCGCTCCAAGAAAAGGAGTAGGAAACAAATCTTTATTCCCACTGTGCTACTAAGCAGCCTGGTGTATCAAAATACTTAATAATCTTAGATATTGACTTTCATTAATTTGAACAGACAAAGGTGAGGATGTAGTCAAAACAAACTTTATGGTATTCTATAAAACTATGCCTTATAGACACCAGGTATTCTGAAACACCACAGCTGGAATCAAGTCAGTTCCATACTTAAGGGGAAAATACAATTAAATTTGATTAATTGATGTCTTATCATTTTCTAATAATTCTAGAACTACAAAAGTAGTATAACTACAAAGACAGAGTAACTCCTGTTATACAATACAAAGGTGAATATAATTCAATATAATGATGTACCTCTTCCTCAAGAAGCAATTCTGTGAAAAGTCAATACAACTTCAAATACTCAGGATGAATTGACTTAATTTTTGATTTCAGTTGTGCTAACATTGATACATATTTTTTACTTGTTATGAGTAAGAAATATTTGTCCATATTTTAGTGGCAGTCCTAGTCAAAATACTTGTGATAGAAATTCATAAAAGTTATAAAAATAATATTTAAATAAATCCATAAAGTGTCCCTATTTATTTTATATCATTGATATATTTTAAGCATTTCAGTAGTGCATTAAAGTTTCTTTCATCTATCTGTCTCCCTGATCCCATTTGATTATGATCAATAATAGTTAAACATGGCAAATATGATATGGACAAGACATTGTTTTAATAAAAATCCCCTTGATGCAGAAAAGATTATTTATAAATATGTTTAAAGACTAAAAATTAATTACCCTAACATTTCTCTTGGTAATCTCTCTGTTCATTAACATTTCTCCACCAGTTAATTCAATTCCTGCCAGAGGAATCAGGACTTCTCCAATGACATCATCTCTTGAAAACCTGTCAAAACTCAAGACTGTGAAGTGCAAGGCCAGCTCCTGGATCTGGGTGTAGGGTATTCCATAAAATGTGAAGGTCTCATCGAAAGCTGGGTCCAAGGTCTTTCTCAGGACCCTTGTTTTTACTTTATGCTTCTTCTCTGGAAGAATCATCATTTTGATGTATGGGTCAGAGGTCATTGACTGGTCATCCATGGCCGGCAAACCACGGGCTTCCTTAATATTTACCACAAACGCTTTCCTTTCAAAGTTGTACTCTAAGGAGAAGAAGAGGGTCCCCAGCTTCTCCTGTTTCTCATCTGAAGTAACAGAAGTGCTGGACTTTAAGCTATCGGGGGAAACTACCTCTTTTCCCCCTTCTGAAGAGAGTTTTGGGGTCACGCTCTCCAGGTCAGGACTGCCAGCTTTGAGATTTGTTTTGGGAAAATTGCCATTTAGATCTCTCTTCTCAAGATCAAGATGCAATGAATTCTTTGGCACAGCTGATTTATTCTTTACTTCATTTTTCTCATCGGCTCCGAACTTCTTTTTGCTGTTCAGGCTTTCAGGGTAAATGTCAACTCCCTTTAGCACATGTACAAACTTATATGGAGGAGTCTTGCTAGGTTTGGATGACTTTCTCTGACAGCATATCCATGCAAACAGAGAGACTGTGAAGACCAGGCCAAACGCACTGAAGATCCCCACCACTGTGGGGATTTCATCTGAAAAATCAAATGACCAATAACATGCATTAAAGGAGCAGAGTTGGAAACACCCTATTTGAAAAGCCTCCTAAAGCTGACAATTGCTGTATGTTGCACAGATTGAATTGCCTTCCAACTGTTCTGGGTGAATTATGTACCAATTTCATATAACTTTCAGGAAAAAACACAGATGTGACACATAGAGAATAAGTAGAAAATCCTTCCTTGTAGTAATTTTCATAAATAAAATGAGAGGATAAAACTTGGTTGAGGCTAAGAGTGGGGGAATACTAAATGATTGTGACCTACCTTTGTTTTCTCACAACATGAGACAAATAGAGTGAAACACATGAATCAGTACTAATTTCATAATATTTTCATCCATATTTTGAGGCTTTCCAGAAGCATCAATTCTTACTATGTAACTCTAAGTCACATTCTTCAAATGCTGAGAGAAATGATGGAACATTATCTGCAATTATCACAAACATGAATAATTTCTACCCAAATTACAATGAAAGAAAAGTACACATATTAGGGGAAAAAGAACAAAAAGGTGAACAACAGAATATTAATATTATACAGCTTGTAAGACTACAAACCCATATACCTACCCCAAGTTCTTCAAATAAATACTGAATTATCCAAAGTACAAATTAATTATCTAGATAGGATAAAACTCAAAGAATGGTTATAAATGAAGCACCAATCCTTAAAATGTAATGAAAAGAGGGAGCAGAGATAATTTAGAGCTCAATTTTATCCATAACTGATTTTTTTCCTAGCACATTTTCACATGGCAAATGGGGATCAAATTGAAATTGGCATTCATTCCTTGAATGAGGGCACATTAATTGCTGACATTATGTAACATTGATTATTCATGAAGCCTATCATGTTCCATATGTAAGTATATTCTCCAACAAATATTCATATCACTGTGTAAGTAAAGCAGTATTACTATATATGGATACAGTGAATTGAGTTAATGTTTAATAATGACCATAATACAACTAATGTAATAATAGCTGCTTCTGGCTCCATTTCATTCTATTTTTTAATCCCACGTAATGAATAATAAAGTTAAAAGTCCCAGTCAGGAAAAGGTTAAGGCTTGCTTAACTAATCCCTGAAAGAATAGTCTTTTGTTTTTCTGCTCCTCAATCCCTCAAACTTCTATTTCATAATCACAAAACCAAACTCAAATAATATAAAATTAGGAAATGACAACAGCAAAGATACAAAAGGAGATAAAACAGGAAACACATCAATGAAAAATATTCTGCAGTTTAATTATATCAATAAACTGAATTGTGTAGAGATGAAAAATATACTTTGAATTCACGAGATAGAAAAAGCAGTGGATGCTACAGAAAGAAAATGAGGTGAGAGCTAAAGATCATTAGCTAAACTTACTATCAGCTTTTCAGTTTTTCCTTCTGTTTAAGTTTCTGTGGGAAGAAAAAGCAAACATACAAACAAAACACTCCTGGACTTTCTAATCATCCAAGTCCAGGGAGCAAAAGCAAAGTCAGGAACTATTCTTTATTCTTTATTCAATGAAGAAAGAAAAAAATTTTTAAAAAGGAATAGTATTTTTTTTTTCTAAATAGACTTATGGCCCATACCAGAACATATTTTTGACTAGCACAGCATCTGAAAATTCCTCAGTATTCAAATATTTCTGATTTTCAATCAGAAACTGGGAATACATATCATATTACAACAATATAAACTCAATCAGTCAAATGGACAGCTGTGAAAGAAATTCCTTCCTGAATATAATATGATATATTGTCTCATTTAATATTAATGTCAAATGGCAAAATATTTAGTATAATATACAAAGGTTCATCTGCTCCCTATGTATTCTCTAATAATAAGATCCTAAAGTTTTGAGAGCAAAGATCTTTCATTTCACTCAGTTTCATAGCAGACTTCTATAAATTTCCTGATATTTCTAAATGTATATAAAGCAAAACTCCAATCTCTTGCCTTTGGAATATAATGGAACCTAAAATAGCACTTTTCTATTTGAAAAAATACCTGATATTTTCTCTTTTTCTTTTTTCACTGAAACAGAGGAGGAGAGTAAGAGTGTTAAGCATAGATATAGGAAAAGGGAAACTGAACCGGAAAATGTAAGTCTTAAGTATAGTTTCCAGTAGTTTTTAGCTAACTGACCTGCAAATTTTCCCTTATCTCTCTGGCCTCTGGTTACCTGTGAAAAAGAGTGGGCTCAGCTAATTAATTTTGAATACTCTATTTAACACTCGAATCGTAGGATTCTGTCTTTCACTAGTAGCATATTTCAAGAATACAAGAAAAACATAGCAGAGAAATTAATGCCTTATGGTACATTCTGCAATAAAACATACATTCTAAATGCCCGATAGTCAAGTTATCTTATGTTGAGATCAAACCCTTATGTAATCACAGAACCATTTGGCTTCCCCTAATTAGTTAAATACCGGTTTTCATGCAAATAAAAATCACCTACAGAATTAATGAAACCAACAAGCAAACAGATCTCTTTTCTTTACTTAGCACGTGCTGCAATTTACAGGGATACCTGGATGACTAGGAACTTCTTGGATGTAAAATCGCGCTAGCATAAAGCAATTTTAAGGACAAAAATAGTCAAGAGAGAAACCACTGAGTTAAGTCACTATTGCCGTTTTACAATTCTCATGTTCCTTTCAGTTTACCTGGGGAATTTATAATCAACATCCCACGGAAACACACACACAGACACACACGCACAGAGATACACAGACACACACAGACACACACACAGACACACACACAGACACACACACACACACACACACACACACACACACACACCCCAGAGTATTTAGGGAACAATCGCAGTTCTAAGTTGAGTAACTTGCTTACCAAATTCTTCCCGGCTGGTAGAGATCGGAGCCATTTTTTGTTGCGTATTCTGTCCGAGGTGCTGAACGGAAACCGTCTGTCTTGGTTCACTTATCTCGATCTGAAGGGACAGGGGCTTTTCCTCGAGCTGGAAACAACAGTGCGAAGCCCAGGGGACCTAAGCCGGGAGTGGGGAAGAGGCAGCGAGGGGAGGTTCGCTCGCCCTCACACTGATTTTCCAGCCCTGTTCCTGTTTTGGCTCGTTAGAGAAGCTTGTCTCCGAGACTCTAGACGTGGCTGAAACACGAATTGACGCAATCCTGACGCTATAGGGTTGAAATCAGCACCTCCCTCCTCTCTCCAAGCCACTCCTCTCCCTCTTCATTCTTTCTTCCTCCCTTCTCTCCTGGGATTTCAACACACATTCATCAATTAACTGTTGGACTACTGGAGATTAGTTTGCTGTTCTGTGGGGGCTCAGGACACGTAGAGATGAGTCCTGAAACTCATCAATGTCAATTCCTAATGTAAAAATCTGATCATCTCGATCAGTGAAAAACTATGTCTGTGTTATCACAATAATATAATTTACAGAAGCGATTTGGGGGAAGAGTAAGAAAAGAAATTTCTACATCAATGATCCCTTGTAAAATGAAAATCTATACTTTCTTGCTACTTAAATTTTTCTTTGATATAATACACCTATATTAGAAAATTTACTGCACATTGATTCATTTGAAATAAAATTTCCTATCATTATCATTTATTTTCTAATAAGTTATTAGTCTAAACATTTTGTTGATTCTGTTGCTCAGTCTTTCTCTCACCTCTCTTCCTTTAATATTTGACTTTTGACCAGCTAAATTACTTTTGCATGTATTGAGATTGTTTTGGAAATGACATTTCTGGTTAAAATCCCTGACTTCTAACAGGTTTATTCAAAATAGTTACAAGAGTAACATCACAATCTAAAAGGACGTCAATAATTATTGGTTATTTTAAAAGGAAAACATACTGCTTTTCTAACTACTGATATCCCCAGGGTTGAGGAACTGGAAAAATACGTTGTTAGATTCTGATTAATTTTAATCTGAAAAGCATGCCTTTTTAAAGCAAATGTTAACAATTTTCCAAAGAAGAGAATTCAGGCTGTAACTTCAACTGTCAATTACTGCCCCATAGGGAATTCCTCTGCGCTGGAGCTCAGTGAGAAAATAGCATCCAGTGTGTTCTGGGATGGGGGAGGCGTGAGTATCGGGTGAGTCTCCGAAAGCTGCTGTCAAATGACAGGTTCCTGCGTACTGGCAAGCAGCTGGCTCTGGACGTCAGGACTGTGTCTGGGGAGAAATTGGCTCAGTCCTTTTGCATCATGGAAAATTTTATAAACCTAAGTCCCTCTCTTTTCCTTTTCTATTCACTCCCACATACTTGGCATTTTAACATTCTCCTAACAGATATTTTTCTTTACTTTATATCATCTTCCTATGAAAACATACAAGCTAATTTACTCTGTTCAATTTTTCCATTATCAAAATCTGTGTTTTTAGGCCTTGTTGTTCCATTTTATTCAGATTACTTGCTTCCTTGATTTTGCATGCAGCTGGTGAGACTGTCCCTAGGAATAAATATCCATTAGACAGATGAAAGAGTGAGTGGCATTTATTTGTGATACATTTATGGTATGAGGTTTATTAAAATATGTTTTCTACCTAAGATGTGTCTGGGGAGAAATTGGCTCAGTCCTTTTGCATCATGGAAAATTTTATAAACCTAAGTCCCTCTCTTTTCCTTTTCTATTCACTCCCACATACTTGGCATTTTAACATTCTCCTAACGGATATTTTTCTTTACTTTATATCATCTTCCTATGAAAACATACAAGCTAATTTACTCTATTCAATTTTTCCATTATCAAAATCTGTGTTTTCAGGCCTTGTTGTTCCATTTCATTCAGATTATTTGCTTCCTTGATTTTGCATGCAGCTGGTGAGACTGTCCCTATGAATAAATATCCATTAGACAGATGAAAGAGTGAGTGGCATTTATTTGTGATACATTTATGGTATGAGGTTTATTAAAATATGTTTTCTACCTAAGTTATTAAAGCAAATGATTATACTCACTTGTAAACACAAGTGCTTTATGTATGTGTTTGACACAAAATAATATCTCTGTAATTTTACCTTCAGGTGGTAAAATGCTATCATCTAAAACCTGTCTAGCTTATTCAAACTCTCCTTAAACGACCCTAAAACTCTCTTTAAACAGAACCCTACCCTACCCTGGGTTGTCTCATTTCTGAGGACACATTGTGATAAAATTACGTCTTGCCCAGAGCTAATGCTATTGTGAAGGTAGTAACTCTTTCATTGTTTGCTTTAAAAGCACTGAAAATCAATGTTATTAACTAAATGTCAGACGTTTTCTTCATTTTTATTTGATAAGCAGCATATTAACCATTAAATAATCTCTTGAAACAAACTTCCAGCATCAGATGAGGAGTGGGAAGGAGTGGGAAGCTGACCCAATTTAGAGGAAACCCTGTAAATTTCTTGTGATTAAGATTCACACCCTACCACTATATTACATTGTTCTCTTTAGATCCAGCAAACAACTATTCAATTCTCTGACATAAACAATACCATTCTTGCAGCATTGATTTGAGAGGAGGGGTTGTTGCTAGGTAACCAGCTAATTGCTACCCAAAACACACAGTCTCAAGTAAGTTCCTGCCCTGAGTAAGGCAAACCCATCTGTACAAGTGGCATTGTTTACCTCAGAGTGATTCTTGGACTGATGAAGTGCTTAAGTGTTTACCCTATTTTATTTCTGATTACAAATATGTATATGAATATGTATATATCGGGCTTCCCAGGTGGTTCTACTGGTAAAGAATCTGCCTGCCAATGCAGGAGACCTAAGAGACATGGGTTTGGTCCCTGGGTCAGGAAGATCCCCTGGAGAAGGAAATAGCAACCCACTCCAGTGTTCTTGCCTGGAAAATCTCATGGACAGAGGAGCCTGGCAGGCTACAGTCCATAGGGTCACACAGAATAGGACATGACTAAAGCGATTTAGCATGCATGTATGTATACTTTGATAAGCAGTGAATAAAACATTTGAATTCAATTTGGGTTTAAGAAATCTAGTTGATTTTAAAGATAATTAAATGATTATAAGATTTTTGGTTCACTTTATTTACTTTTTTAATTTTAGTTTCATTTATAAACTTTGAGTGGTTTACTAGTTATATAATTGTCTATATTTTTTCAATTCCTTTCCTTAAAAACATTATTGGTAGATGTGTTTAGAAATCCCTGCTAAGCAAAAGAAAATTTCAAAATGTTGTGAAAATGTTTCAATGATTGTCAGCATTCAGTAATTTTTCATAGTACTCAGATTAATAATACAAAGGCATTTTACTGGTCTGCAGGTAGAGTAAAATGAAGTAATTGATAATGGATAATTGTTTTAATGTTTCATATCATTCTCTTAAGAATGCTAGCTCTAATGTTAATAGGATAGGTTTGTATTCCAAGCACACCCAAGTTAAAATCCTACAAGACAAATGCTTTCCCAATTAGTGTTGCAAAAATTCCTTTACATAAATCATTTCTATATTTATTTTTCTTCAAACTCTTCAGAACTTACTATGTGCCAACTTAAACTGGTCTCTGATAGCTCATGATTGAAAAACTCTACCTTAAACCAAAAATAAAAGTTTATAAACTTTCTTATTTTCTTTCTGTCAATGCATCCTTCTTAAAGATGTGATACCTCTTAAGTTTTACCTAAGTAGGGAATTTATGCTAGTAAAGATGATAGAAAAGAGAGTTGCCCTCATGATGCTTACAGACTATAGAAGAAATTGACAGCCCTTCATTTAGAACTGGGAAGAANACTCAGCAGTATCACCTTGCTTCCATGGCTGCCTAGCTTTCCTCCACAGGCATTTCCCACCAGTTTCTTCCCTCAGAGCCCCTCTGTCCATTTCTCCACAGTCAACAGCCCCCCTTGCCCTGGAATTGTTCCGCAATCCCAAACTCCAGCTCCCAACCACTGTGCCTTCTAGGGGACCTGTGTCCCTGTCCGGGGTACATATGGCTGCAGCAAGGACTGTTTGATTCTCATTCCATTTAGGTTGCCACAGATCAGCTGTTTCACTCTCAGCCTTAAATGTTTCTCCTCTGACTCAAACAATTGCCCCGATGTGAGGATCAGACCCCTGCATCAGTTTCTCCACCCAGTGAAGGCAGGTTCAGCACTAGTAACACTCTGGTTTCCCCCCCTAGATCCTTCATCCTACCAGGTTTTGCATGTCTCTGTATATTCTTTTCCACTGGTCAAGTACTCCTGTCTGCTTTCAACTGGTGTTCTGCATGCATTTCTGTGTCTGAAGGTATATTCCTCATGTATCCATGGAGAGAAATGTACTCCACATCCACCTATCCCTCCACCATCTTGTTCTCCCGATCTTAGTTTTTTGAATGTTGAGCTTTAAGCCAGTTTTCTTTTTCTTTTTTACTCTCCTCTTTCACTTTCATCAAGAGGCTCTTCAGTTCCTCTTCATTTTCTGCCTTAAAGGTGGTATAATCTGCATATCTGAGGTTATTGATATCTCTCCCAGCAATCTTGATTCCAGCTGTGCTTCATTCAGCCCAGCATTTCACATGATGTACTCTGCATGTGAGCTAGATAAGCAGTGTGACAATAAACAGGAAAAAATGGTAGGTATTTACTTTTATACTTATCTACTTCACATAAGTAGATCTTTAAGTCCAAGAGAAAGGTATTTGGAAGATAATACAGGATATTTTTTAAATGATAAATTTATAACTATACTAGGGAGATATGAAGCTTCAACATGTCCACATGCTCATTAGTACAGCTTCAAAATCTAAAAAGCCAAAGTTGGTAAGAAATAATGTGAGAAACAGGCAAATCCACATACAGAGGAAAATTTTTTCAAAACTTCTTCATAACTGAAAGAAACAGATAAAAATCAGCACAGATGCACAATATCTAAACAAATTAATAAATTTGAGCTAGTTCAAAATACATAGTGATTTTTAAAATATGGAACATTTAGCAAAATTGATCATGTTCAGTTCAGTTCAGTCGCTCAGTTGTGTCTGACTTTTTGCAACCCCATGAACCGCAGCACACCAGGCCTCCCTATCCATCACCAACTCTCGGAATCCACACAAACCCATGTCCATTGAGTCGGTGATGCCATCCAACCATCTCATCCTCTGTTGTCCCCTTCTCCTCCTGCCCCCAATCCCTCCCAGCATCAGGGTC